TTTTTTTTTTTGGCCAGCACTGGGTTTGAAGCTGCCACCTCCAGCATATAGGGCCAGCGCCCTACCCCTTTCAGCCATAGGCACCGCCCAGGAAGAGCATTTGTATGTTGGGTATGCAGCACAGGGGGCAGGAGATGACACAGGGGAGTAGGGAGAGCACCAGTAGTGTCCTTAAAAGACAATGGAATGGGGGTGGGCCCAGGGCTGGTGCAGAGTGTGGGGTTGGGCTGCCAACTACCTTCCATCTTCAGGCCCCCTAGATGGCTCCTAGGCCACCCCTCAGCCTAGGGTCGCCTCACCATGCCCACAGAGCTAAGCCTGGGATGAGCAGCTGCTCAATAAGTGTTCACCAACTGACTTTGGTACCAAATAAGCACTAACTGAGGTGCCCAATATGTGCTGACTGACTGTGGTGCCCAATTAAGTGTTCACTGATTGACTGTGGTGTCCAACAAGAGTTCATTGATTCACTGTGGTAATCAATAAGAGATCACTGACTGACTGTGGTATCTAGTAAGTGCTCACTGACAGCCAAAGGTGCCCAAAAAGTGCTCACTGAGCCCCCCATCTCCGAGGTAGTACCCAATAAGCACTAATTGTGGTGCCTAATAAGTACTCGCTGATTGACTGTGGTACCTAATAAGTGTTCACTGTGGTGCCCATAAGTGCTGGACACCACTAGACACACTTGAATTCTACTGCCTCTTAGCTTTGGAGGGTACAGTTCTGAGGGGCTGTGGGGCCTCATCTGTACCTGCCTCCCCTAAACCTCTGAGAGGGTCTCTATGCACAGAAGACAAGCATAGGCCTGGCAAATGGGCAGGAGCTCAGTAAGTCCTGGAACACCTTATACTGGCGTGCATCTGCCTTTTACAGGCACTAAACAACGCATCAGATCTTTCTGGTGCCATGATCTCCATGTGTGGTCAGTTGCACATCTCAGGATTTACACTGCCCTGTGCAGTCCTCTCCTATATGGTTCTAGGCCTGGCCACATGATTGACCTTGTCAGTGGGACATCCAAAAATGTGAAGCAAGCAGAGGCTGGGTGAGTATTTTTCTACTAAAAAGATAGAGGAGGGAAGCCTGACTCACCTAGCCTCCCTGTGGACTGCACCAGCCAAGAACCAGACAGGCCCCCTCTGACTATCCACTGGCAATTGAGCTCCAACAAGGGCCACATGAGTGATCCCCTCAGATGTCACTGGCAAAACCACCCAGCTGAACCTATCCCAAATTGCAAAACTGTGATTAGGTAAATTATTAGGGCTAGAGACCACTAAGTTTTTTTTTAGAGATAGAGTCTTACTTTGTTGGCCCTCAGTAGAGTGCCATGGCATCACAGCTCACAGCAACCCCCAGCTCTTGGACTTAGGCGATTCTCTTGCCTTAGCTTCCCCAGTAGGTGGGACTATAGGCCCCCGCCACAACGCCCAGCTATTTTTTTGTTGTTGTTGCAGTTTGGCCGGGGCCAGGTTCGAACCCGCCACGCTCAGTATATGGGGCCGGCGCCCTACTCACTGAGGGACAGGTGCCTCCCTGAACCACTAAGTTTTAGAGTATTTTGTTATGCAGCAATAGCTGATAGCTACAATGAATATCTGTCACCACAGCTCATGCCCTCTCTGTCATCTGATGAGCCACTTTTACAGAAGGGAAATAAAGAGACCAGTGAGGGGAAAGAACTTGCCAGGGTCACACAGCAGGTAGACAATGGAGGGAGCATCCTGGAGCTGGGTGGGTAAAGCAGGCTTTGGCATGAGGTAGAACAGGGGACATGTGGGATCTATCTCTTAGTCTTATTGGGTAATGAATCTTGGGATTAGAATAGGGCTTGTGGCCTGCGTAAGAGGCAGGAGAAAGGTGATGAATGAGGAAGACAGGCTCATAAGTTCCCTGAGCAGCAGAGAGCACAGAGTGGGCCACTCTGAGCCTGCAGACACCCTTCCTGTCCTCCCACCCCTGAAACCATCCTGCAAGTCCAGTGAGAAAGCCCAAGTGGTTAGAGAAGCAGGTCCCTGTTTAGATGCCAAGTGACAAGTTAGTTCAGAGCAGAGAGAGGCTCACAGCTACCCTCAGCACTGACCTGGGATGGGGGAGGAACAGCAGCCTCTAAGTTGCTTCTGGAATCAGGCTGAGGAGGGTGGGAGTGATTCATCGGGGCTGGAACAAAACACGTGCAGTTTCCGTGAGGATGAAGTCAGAGGCCATGAGGCCTTCTCAGTTGTCTACAGTACAGGCTTAGGTCATACTCTCTGGCCTGAAATTTCAGGGCATCCTTTCTTTTTTTTTTTTTTTTTTTTTTGAGACAGCGTCTCACTTTGTCACCCTTTGTAGAGTGCCATGGTGTCATAGCTCACAGCAACCTTCAACTCTTGGGCACAAGCGATTTTTGTGCCTCAGCTTGCTCAGTAGCTGGGACTACAGGTGCCCACCACAGTGCCCAAGTATTTTTTTTGTTTTTTTTTTTGGAGACAGAGCCTCAAGCTGTCACCCTGGGTACAGTGCCGTGACATACGGCTCACAGCAACCTCCAACTCCTGGGCTCAAGGGATTCTCCTGCCTCCGTCTCCCAAGTAGCTGGGACTATAAATGCCCACCACAACATCCGGCTATTTTTCGGTTGCAGCCGTCATTGTTGTTTGGCAGGCCCAAGCTGGATTCAAAGTCACCAGCTCTGGTGCATGTGGTGGGTGCCTTAGCTGCTTGAGCCACAGGTGCCAAGCCAATGCCCAGCTATTTTTAAAGACAGGGTCTTGCTCTGGCTCAGGGTGGTCTTGAACTCCTGAGCTCAAGCAATCTACCCATTTCAACTTCCCAGAGTGCTAGGATTACAAGTGTGAGCCACAGCAACCAGCCCATTCTCTTTTTTTTGAGACAGAGTCTCACTCTGTTGCCCTGGGTTGAGTGCCATGGTGTTGTTGCTCTTGGGGTTGAGCAATCGTCTTGCCTCAGCCTCGAGAGTAGCTGGGACTACAGGTGCCCACCACAATGCTAGGCTAGTTTTTATTTTTTATTTTTTTGAGACAGAGTCTCACTTTGTCACCCGTAGAGTGCCATGGTGTCATAGCTCACAGCAACCTTCAACTCTTGGACACAAGCAATTCTCTTGCTTCAGTTTGCTGAGTAGCTAGGACTACAGGCACCTGCCATAACACCGGGCTATTTTTAGAGACAGGGTCTAGCTCTGGCTCAGACTGGTCTAGAACCTGTGAGCTCAGGCAATCCGACCACTTTGGCCTCCCCGACTGCAGGGCATGAGCCACTGCCTTCGGCTAGTTTTTCTATTTTTAGTAGAGACAGGGTCTTACTCCTGCTCAGGCTAGTCTCAAACTCCTGAGCTTAAGCGATCCACCTGCCTTGGCCTCCCACAGTGCTACATTTACAGGTATAAACCACCTCACCCAGCCACTGCATCCTCTTAAAAAAAGACCAGTAGGCTCGGTGCCTGTGGTTCAAACAGCTAAGGTGCCAGCCACATACACCTGAGGTAGCGGGTTCGAATACAGCCCTGGCCCACCAAAACAACAGTGACAGCTGCAACCCAAAATGGCCAGGTGTTGTGGCAGGCGCCTGTAGTCCCAGCTAGTTCGGAGATGGAGACAGAAGAATCGTTTGAGCCCAGGAGTTGGAGGCTGCTGTAAGCTGTGATGCCACAGCACTCTACTCAGGGAGATAGCTTAAGGCTCTGTCTCAAAATAATAATAATAATAATAATAATAATAAAGGAAGACCAGTCACCCACTTCAGAGGCCATGTCTAGGACTTAATGATGTAGGACTGGGTACTTCAAACCCACACGGCTTGCAAAGAGAGGTGTCAGTAGCACCTCAAGCTGGCACTGATGTCTTTCAGAAGCGTATCACATTTTTGCAGCAGCAGGCACAAGCAGGGCATTTGGAAGCATTTTGGAAACTGTGAGTTGACAGTGAAAGGTACAGCTTTTGATTAACCCCAGTCCCAAGTGTCAAGCAGCACTGCCTAGCAGAACAGCCAGAAGCTGCTCTTCCTCAGATGCACAAGAGCCCAGATAAAACCCAGTTATGCTATCCTTAAGGGAAGATAGCTCCATGCTCATTCTTACACAGGCTCAAGGCCTTTTTGTTTTGGACAATTCTCCTTTCTTATGAGAAACAGCATCACAGATGTTTTCTTCTTTCTAAACGTCTAGTAGGGGACAGGCATGCCAGAACCCCAACCTGCAAGGGCTGGATGCATTCCAAGGTGACCTTGTGGCTTATAGCATATGAGTGTATGTTCATATGCATGTTTATTAACTTACAATAAAAAAAAAAACAAAAAACAGAAGACTTATGTCTCTAAAACTCTCTTCCCAGTATCCAAGGACTGTAAAGTGCTTTTCATTTATAAATCATCTGGCTCGAAGGCTTTCTTTCCTCTTGATGCACTTGGACAAGGTTGAAAGAGGCCCCTGCCCACCTCCCTGGCCCCATCTTTCTTCACTTGCCCACGCTCCTATTCCAGCTACACCAGCATTCCTCAAACATGCCAAGTGCCTTTGTCTTTGCCACTCCACCACCTAGAACTCTGTCCCCTGGTCATGTCTGTCTGCATGTTGTTCAGGCCACCTCCTCAGAGAGCCAGTGTGGAGGTGGCATCCACATCCCTCTGCTTCCTTGGCCGTGCATCTGAAACACTCCTGTCTGTTGTGTGTTTACCTAGTTGCTGTGCATCTCCCTGACCCTGCCTGCCTCAGTCACCACTGTGTCCCTGGCACCTAGCCCAGGCTCAGGCACACAGCAGAGTTCAGGATTTGGATGCTGAGTAGCTGAACGCTTGTGCTACAGACAGCAAAGGACAATAGGAAGTCACCAGACACCATGAGATGAGGAAAGGGAGTTTTCCAATAAGCAAGAAGCGATGTTTCATGGCTGAGCTGGTGGTCCTGGCAGCGAGAATGGGCAGTCCTGGGAACTACCTGTGGCCCTGAGCAGTGGCATTCATGTGGTCCCGGATGCTGATGGCCTGTTTGAGCAGACCCTCGACGCTGCGGAAGTAGACACTGCTGTCAACCAGGTTCTTCACAGCACTGAAATAGGAGGACAGACCAGGTCAGCTCCCTGAGCCTGCTGATGCATCTCCACACCCCAGCACTAGAGGGGCCTCTGCCTGAGTGTGGTGGGCACCTTGGTGATCCCATGGGCCTCTCTGAGTGCTCCTGTGGGCTTAAATATTAGAATTCTCTGCTATGCCTAGATGAGACCTATGCAACAAAGCACGTAGTACCAAGATGCAACTTTCATTTCACTGCTACTGAAACTGCTAGAGTTCTGAAAGAGGTTGAAGCATGTAAAGCTGACCTCAAAAATATCTCAGGCTGGCATGGTGCACACACCTGTAATCTCAGTCACTCAGGTTGAAGTGGGAGGATTGTTTGAGGCCAAGAGTTCAAGGTTACAGTGAGCTATGATCCGGTCACTGCAGTCTGGTAAGAGAGCAAGGTGAGACCTTGTCTCTAAAAAAGTAAAAAGTCCTTTCATTTTTACTAAGTGTGTGGAAAAGAAAAAAAAGTCCTTTCCAAAAGCATTCTAGAAAATTATTTACAAAGTTGCTCAGGGCTCATCTGCAATAAAAATAAAAGTGTTACTTTAATGTCCTTTTATTAAAAGCAAAAAGAAAATTCACTCTATTTATTATTAATCATGGACAG